GATCCAAGATGCTGTGAGATGTCTGACCTAGGCCACCTATACCTGACCAGCATGTTAGTGTTTGGAGAAGTCTGGCTTCAGATGTTAACTTGTGTTGTGTGGCAAAAATTTTCCTTGGAAGATGAAATACATGTCTACTCACTCCACATAGGGAACCCACAACAGACCAAAGTAGCCAAGTGAGGCCAACTTAGTGGTGCATGCCTTTAATCCCAGCACTTGAGAGGCAGAGGCAGGCCGACCTCTGAAGCACTGCCTCAAAATAAATAAATAAATAAAATAAAGAGAGAGAGTAAAAAGAAAGGAAGGAAAAAAAGTAGCCAAAGGAATAATGCATGTGTTTTTAAAAAATAGACACTTACATGTATATATTTTCATATTTCCCCTCCCCATCAACTAGGCTCTGCTCCTTCCCACCCCAATGGCAGTCCTTCTTGAGTTCAATTTTCTGAGCCTTTGATTAAACACTAATCTGCCTTAAACTATATGACTCAAGATACTCAGATCTCACATTACCACTCTAAAAAGCTGCCATTCCACCAGGATAACACAGCCCTGTTCTCCCGAGTAGGTGCTGCCTCCTAGATGCATGGACCTCCTAACCAGACACTGAACTTCCCAAGCCTCAACTTGCTAGCCATCAAGAGCTTACTCAAAAAAGAACAACCAGGTTTGGAGAGAGACACAAAAAGATAAATGGAGAAGAACAGCAAAAGGTGCGCTTACTCCTGTCAGTATCTGTTTACAGGCAGTGACAAAGTCTCACAGGACTAGGAAAACTGTAGCCTTCAACAACAGTTCTACAAAAGAAAACAGTTTATCAATCCCCCTACAGCTTAGTTCTTCCTATAACAGTGTACCTTGAGGTGACTTGAGGAAGAAGATAGACAGCTATAACTAATGAACTACATCAGAAACTCAAGTCCAACCTTAAAAGTCAAAGTAACATTTTTAAAAATGAAGACAACATGCGAGGGCACAGAAAATACTAATCCTATAGAAATGAAGCCCAACTAGAAATGCCTTGAAGATCTTCCAGACAAGGAACTCAAAAGAATGGTAACATGAAATTTGCAGATAAGTGCAATTCTCATCCTTCCTCGAGGAAGTGTCTCTTTGTGACAGAGACCATTACAGGAAACCAAACCCAAATCAAAATACAGAATTATGGGGCCCAACTCCAACTGATATATCTAAAGCACAGCTTCTGTACCTAAGGCTCAGGGATTATTGAAGAGGATGGATCAGAAAGATTGTAGGAGCCAAAGAAATAGGGAGTTTACTGTGAGATTGTGTCCCATATGAATATCAGAAGCTACAACCATAAAGTCTCACCAACATGACTGCCTAAACATGAGCTGAACAAAGATGACACTGAGAGGCATGATAACATGGATGGGGGAAAGCTCATAGGGCTTTAATCTTACATAAAGGCAACAAAGAACTTTGAGAGCAGGAGAAAACATCTTCCACAAAGAAAGCACCATTAACCAATAACAAATGGTCAACTCTGAAAACATACATACAAATAACATTGTAAAGACTAAGTTGTATTAATGCAGTTAAGAACACACACACACACAGAGAGAGAGAGAGAGAGAGTTTTTCCTTTCTCCTTCTCCATTCCCACTTTTGAAATGTGTCTGGTTTTCTCTCTCCACAAAGGTGAAAGATTTAAAGTACAGAAGAAAAATAAACATCAATATAACTATGGAATAACGAATGTCTACCTTAGTATAAAAACAATTTCAAAACTGTATCTTCAAATAAATGAAAAACAGATTACGGCTCATGAGAATTATGAGCAATGGATATCATTTGAAAGTATTCATGTAGACAATATTAAGTTTATGTCCACAAAAATAAAAGAATTAACACCTGAAATTTTAGATAAGCATAAAAAAGTTATATTGATGATTAAATCTTTACCCCCACCTATAGTCAGAGGAGGCAAATTAAAATGGAAATAGGGTATTCTTGAACAAAAGTACTATATTGTCCTCGAAGGGACAGGGTACATATGATGCTGCTGAAGGGAAATTAAACTACAAAATGTCTCCCAAAAGTTAATTCTGAATTACTTAACATTATAAATGTGATCTTACATAATTACAATAATGACATGTATTAATAAATGTCATTTTAAATTTGTGAATAACCATCTGAATTAGAAGTAAAGTAAATTTTAAATAGAACTAAATTACTTAAATAATTTTTGTGCATTTTTAGAGAAGAGTAAGGTGATGTAAACATACTGTGTTGATTCATAGTTACTAATATGATAAGTATTAATAATAAATATTCACCATAGCATTCTGGCCTAAGAGCAGTGAATACATTTATGTAAATGGTTAGACATAGTGTCCTAATCCCAAACAATCAACATACTACAATAAAGATTAGTCTTAATATAATGTTTGGACAGGCAAATCAAAACAGAACCAATTGGGGAGTCACTGGTCAAATTACTTCCATCTGTATGGAAACTTAAGAAACAAGTAATTTGAACTGTGCATGCCTTCACTTCCTGGGTTTTAAGGCACTTTAGACTCCCTGGTGGTTAATGTTGATTGTCAATTTGATGGATTTAGAATCACTATGGAAACCTCTGGGCATGCCAGTGAGGGATTATTTAGGTTAGGTTAATTGAAATGGGAATATTCTGCCTCAGTGAGGTTGGTATCACAAACTGACTGGGTTAGTAAACTGAATGAAAAAGAAAAATCAAGCTGAGGAGAGGGATTCCTTATTTTCTGTCTTGACTATGAATACAATGTGAGCAGGTATCTCAAGCTTTTGCTGCCATGATGGACTACACCCTTTAACCTTTACGTGTCTTGTCAAGTATTTTCTCAGATAAATGAGAAAAGTAACTAAGACAAACTCAAACCTAGTATGTTGGGCATTGAATTCTTGAAATGGTAGTGGCTCATTAGGTAAAGTGGGTGCCAAGCAAGGGCAATGACCTGAATTTGGATCCTCAGTACCCACACAAATTGTGTGCTAGGATTTATAAACCTACAGTGGGTTTGCAGACACACTGGCCAGTTTAAGAGCTCTCTGGCCATCAAAGCAATCACTGAGTGTCAATTAAGTCCCTATCTCATAAGATGGAGCATGATCAAGGAAGAATGTCAGTGATCTCTAGTATCCTCAAGAACATGCATAGACATACATTATCCTCATGTACATATATTCAAACAAACACAGAAAATGAACAGTCTTTACTTATATTTACATTGCTTTAATTCCCTTTAGTGTCACTATACACCGATAAAAGCTTATTCAACTTTTTGTGGTTTGAAAATGCAGCTTACTGTTTCCCAAGCTGGCCTTCAATTCAAGATCTATCTGGCCCTGCCTCCCACAAAACAAGAATAGCAGATATATGGCACAGCAATGGACTCCATTTTTGTTTTTAACCCATCTCCATTTATCTGCAGATAAAAGAAAAAGAGGACAGAGGGGAGAATGAAGTGAAGGATAAAGAAGCAGCTGGAAAGTTGTAACCTTTCATGGTCTTTCTCAAGACTTGTAAGGAAGCTAAGAAATCTAAATCCCAACAGCCTTCATCAAATAAATAAATAAATAAATAAACAAACTCATCAATAACAATTTTTTAAAGATTTTAAAATTATGTATAGTCTTCTGCCTGCATGTATCCCTGCAGGCCAGAAGAGGGCACCAGACTTCATTCTGGACTGTTCACCACTATGTGGTTGATGGGAATAGAACTCAGGACCTCTGGAAGAACAGGCAGCACTCTTAATCCCTGAGTCATCAGCCTTCATCCAGCCTCAGCCTTCATAACTTTTAAATGACAACAGATGAGGAAATCCTTGAGACCAAGAGAATTACAAAACTAAATAATTTTTTTAAAAAATCCAGTCATTTAGTAATTTATCAGTCCCTTTTTCATACTTACTACAACTCAAGTGTTGGAACCACATTGCCATATTTTGTGTTAAGTATAGCTTTTTTACACACATTGACATTTTGCGTGGCAACTTCACATACTCTTAAAACATTTGGCTCAAATGAAACATCTGCATTGACAGCAAATGTTTACAATTTGAAGACGTTTGTTTCATTCCTATTTCAAAAATCCTACCCTTTTTTGCCTAGGCTAAGCTCTTGAAAATCACTTAAGACTATTAAACCTCAACAGAAAGCTCCATTCACTGGCAGAAAGTTATACTTAGAAGGTAGTTTGGTAATTTTTTTCTCTAAAATACAATTCATTATTTATAAAACAGCATTTACTTAAAACATTTTAAGATTGTGTGTTTATTTATGACAATATCAATATTTCTTTTTTAAAAAACTTCTCAAATATATTAATTTTACAAACTAGTACTGAGACTGGAACTCTCCAGCTATGTGACTTTCTACCCAGGCCCCGCCCTCTCCAAGAATTGACTAGCCTGAGCTGTGCCAGCCACCCGCTCCGGTGCGGACCCGCTTGCCTGCTATCTTCCGGCACTTTCCTGTCATCCCTCCCCCGCCAGGCCCAGGTGCCCTCTACCCTGCCCTCGGCCCCACACCGCAGGGGAGACTCGAACCCTCAGAGGAGCTCCGTCATCCCAGCCCCGCTCTCCCCTCCCAGCCCCCGCGTCGCGCGCGCGCCGCAAGTTCTCCAAGCGCGTCTCTCGTCCTCCTGGTCCTCCAGCTCCTACACCGCGGCCTTGCAGCTGGGAGCTCGTCGACATCGGGGATCTCGGAAGCCGGAGAAGGGGGATGCTCCCACGACTGGACTTGGCGAGGGGCGCCGAGGGAGGGGAGGAGTCCTAGGAGGAGGAGCCGCTGATGCTCGCCGCCTCCCAGCGCGCGTGGTCCTGCATCCTGACGTCAAGTGCCCCTGCGGAAGGACGCCTTGCGTCACAGGTCACCGGAAGGGCGAGGGCGGGACTGAGCGGGGAAAGGAACGGGGACCCCGGCCGGGGCGGGGAGGCGGAACACAAGTCACCGGAAGGGCGAAGGCGGTAGATGTTGCGGGCCTGACGGAAACATGCTGATTGGACCGAGATGCCTGTAAAGGCGGAGCCACGAGAAAGGAATGTGGTGGACAAGCCCGGGGAGGCGAAACTGATGCGCGTAGCAAGGGGTCGGGTGTGCGTGGGCGTGGTCTGGGTAACCCGGCTTCTTCCTGGCAGTCCGCAGCAGCACCGTCTGTGATGTCCCGGGGTCTTCCTCCTGCCGCCCGCGGTCTCGGTGTCTGTGTGAGCCGCGGCCCCCGACGGAACCCATCTGTCCTCTCTCAGAGTGACAGATGATGGAGGCCGCCGCACTGGTGCATGCGTTGCATGGCTGATCGGTGGTGCGGACCTTGGCGGTGCCCACCACAGCCCCATGGCAGGCTCGTCTTCGACAAGGGCAATTTCCAGGAGCTGACAGCTGAGTCGCCCCGCCCCCTCCGGTAGGACCGGTGGGCAGCAGAGCCGTGATCAAACCTTGTACGAGTCCCGGGGACACAACTCCCACCGCTGGGGGAGACACAGGACAGGCCCAGCACTGACGGGTAGTAGGAGGGAACAGGAAGTGTCACTCACCTGGAGCATTGTGGGTCCCCGTCCAGGTCCCTCACAATATCAGTCTGACCTCCAGAACCTGATGCTTTCCGAAGCATGCCCCCCCCCCCACACACACACACACACACACACACACACACACCACCGTGTTCCTGCCTATGTAGGTCTCTGTATGCATGCTTGTGCTGCCCTCTCTATGTGTGTGTGTCGTCTTCTGTGTACATGTGTGTAGTCCTCTGTGTGTAGGATGTGCAGCCCCGGGACAGCACACCTCTGATGGAACCTTCTCTATCCACCAAAGACCAAGGTATGATGGCAGCGTGTGCTAAGGGGGTCTGACACTGTGGTCGGCTGTGAGAACAGGACCTGCAGAGCCTCCACTCCTTTCTCCGATCTTGGCCACAGGCCTGGGTCCCCTGACCTCCATATGCCCGCCTCTCTGTAAGAGGAGGGCTGCTTGGGTCATGGAGGTCTTCGACAGATTCTCCGACATCCTGCACATCTTCCTTGTCACGCCTGCCCACCGAGGAGGCCAGGCTGTAATTGGCGCTGGCTGAAATCCCCTTCCTCAGGTGGGTCACCCCCACATGCCTTGGTCATTACTGAGGCAAACATAAGGCAGTTGGTGCATCTCGATCTCCATAGACTTGCTGCCGTGGTGTTCAGTGTCCCCACCTGTACAGAGACCCAGGTTGCACACCTCCTTGGTGGTTGAAGCCCTGGGAGGGCTTGGCTCTGGCCAGCAGGGACCAAAGTGCCCACAGCCATTAGGCGTTTCAATTTCAGGTCTGCCTGGAGCAGCGACTCTGCCTGGCTAGACTATGAAGGAAGAGGCTCCCCGTACATCATGGGGTCAGGTAAGGCTGCCAGCTGTCATGTTGGGGAACACTAGTACCACGCTGACAGCCCCTCTCCCCACAGTGCAAGGAGGCTGCAATGCAGCTGGTGCAGGAACTGCCCCAGACAGCGCTGCTCTCGTCACCATTGTCATCAGCCAGGCCACCAATGGCAGGTTCTGGAATCTGTTCCATGAAGACCACTAATAGTCCCTCCCCTTCCTCTCTCCCAGAATGGTTGTCAGCTCATTAAAGAAGGATTTGCACTCTCTCATGGCTGTGTCTGGGTGTGTGGAGGGTTCATGTCCCTGGAGGAAGTGGGCATGGAGGGCCCCTAAGGGGGAGGACAGACACAGGTGAAATCACATCCCCCACCCCACACCCTAGTCAGGCCTCTGAATCATGTGACAGGGACACGGTTCCATCCTCTCGGCTTCAGACTAGATAGCATCCCTACAGGCTGGGGTGGGAGGATCCTTTTAACTCTGACCTGAAAAATGAACTAATACTGAGTATGGGGTCACGAGTCATGTGTCAAATTTCTGTACAGGGAGATGGTGGAAATTCCCAATAAGCAGATGTGACTCAATGTGTAGAGTGCTTGCAACTCAGTTGGTAGGGTACTTGTGACTCAGTGGGTAGGGTGCTTGTGGCTTAGTACTTGGGATGCTTGCAGCTCAGTGGTTGAGGTGTTTATGACTCAGTAGAGTGTTCACCTTGCACTCACTATACAAACTAGATGTGGTTCCTGTGGAAACTGAGGCCGGAGGAACAGAGTCCAAGACTGTTTCATCTCCCCGATGAGAGTCTAGCCTGGGCAACTGGAGACGCTGCACAAACACATAGTCACAGACACGGTTGGCTTCATAAGATTTTAATTAATGGTGCTGAGCAAAGGTTGATACAGGCCCAGAATGATTGGTCACGTGTCCTCCATGGACTCTGGGGCCTGACATGTGTCACTCTTGAACTTAAATCTGCATGTGTCCTAATGACCGGAAATGACCATGAGGCAGAGTTTGAAATCTGCACTCCGTGTGGTGTAGGCTTGCTCAGCAGGGCCTCAGCCCTTCACAGGGGAGGAGGATGGGACACAGTGTTCTTCTTGTTTCAGGACAGATCCCTGACCTCCCTGACCCTGACATCCGTGACTCTGACCCTGTCCTGAGCCCCACACCTTGAGTTGCCTACGGGGCAGGGTGGTCAGGACCACAGCAGCTTAGAGTTTAGTCCGATGACATCATTCACAAACGTGTCGGTGCCCACGAAGTCCCCGGCGATAATGTTGGTGCAGTGGGAACCAGGCCCAGGCCGCTGCTCGCGCACCCACGCCCTCAGGGACGGGAGGTTGGGCAATGTCATCTTCTCCAGGGACCCGGATGGGTGCGCGAGCACATACTCCACGTTCTCTGTGAGGTTGATGCCCGCCACAAACAGGCCACCTGGAAGGGAAGGGCAGCGTGATGCAGGGGTCCACAGCACAGCCTGTGAGACTGACAGGAAGCCCACCCTGTCCCACACGATTTCAGTGCCAGCCCACCCCCCCACCTGATTGACAGGTGGCATCCACACACATGCACCCTATCTCCATCTGACGGACAGGTAACATTCTCACAGATGCCCACCCTGCCCTGGGATATGTCCCACATGGCACCTGGACGTCCGCAGCTCTTCATGGTCTCCAGGTAATGTAGCAGCGCCTGTGACTTCACCTTGTTCCCCCACCAGTAGGGGATTCCTGGCCACAGCTCCCTGTGGCGACCCACGGAGGCCTCGTCCTCATAGGACACAATCACCTGCTGGCCCCGCGCCCACAGCTGCCGCAGCGTGGGAATGTCCTGCGTGGAAGGGGCTGCATGAGGTCACAGACATGATGGCACTGGGTCCACACCCCAAGTAGCCACATGCCCATACCACTCCTCACCCCACGAGGACAAAGCATATCCCCAAAGATGTTCTTGATGCAGCCCACAAGGTATTCGTGCAGCTCATCAGTCATTCCTTCGAAATTCCTGCAGGCCAGGATGATGACCTCACGGGGGTGGGACTCCAGCCACTCGGAGATCTCTGTGAGGGTGTCCTGGGAATGTCATGGGGACGCAGAGCCTGGCATACTGGGATCACGTTCCACCTAGTCACTTGGTCCCTGCCTACCTTTCCCCTACCCAGCCCTTCCCTCCTCTCCCTAACCCCCAACTCTCTTCTGCCCCTCTCTGCCTCTCTACTCTTCCCTTCCACCCCTCCCTCTTGCCCTCCTCCACCTCTCCCAACCCCCTTCCCTCTCACCCCTCCCCTGTATCCCCTGCTCATTCCATGACCCCCAGGCCCCTACCTCCACCAGTGCTGTCGTGTAGATCATGTGGACGAAATGCAGGTTCCTCTCGGAACCTCCCATCATGTGTGCAATCCGCAGGTCCAGGTACCGCACCCCCTCATCCAGCTGTTGTGTTACATCCAGTGCCTGCAGCATTCCCAGGGTGCATCAATCCAAACCCTGCAGAGCACCTGGTCCCGGTAACCCCGCCCTGGGACTCACATTCCCGCTCCCCCTGTACATTACCTGGTCCCCCTAACCCCCGGAGCTCACAGTCCCACTTCTCCGAACCCTGTACATCTCCTGGTCCCCTAACTCCTCCGCCCCCCCCCACAGTTCCCCTCCTCCAAACTCCTGTATATCTCCAGACCCCTTAGCCCTGCCCCCAGGGCTCACAGTCCTTCTCCCATAATGCTTGTTTATCTCCAGGTTCCCTAACCCCACCCCAACCTCACAGCGCACGCATGTCCATCTCACCTGCGTGACCGACCACTTCAGCACCATGGGGCGCGTAATACAAGGCGCGACCCGACCCAGCAGATGAAGCAGCCTGGACTGTGCCTGGGAGATGGGGGACTTCCTGCTCAGGCAGTATGTCATGGTGTCGTGGCTCCCTGTGGACACACACACAATGCTAGCTTTCTCAGGCATTCATAACCCCACAGAGCCCAGTGAAGGCTCAACCGTCTGTGGCTCAACCTACTGTTAGAGGGCAGTCTGTCTGTCTGTCTGCCCTCCTTCCTTCCTTGTTTCCCTACGACGCTCCCACGCAGGACACAGAGCCTCACTCGGTGTCTCTGACAACTGGGCTGGCAAGATGCTACCCAGGGGTCCCTGTGTCCTGCTCACATCACCCACGCCCCCACCTCCTCTCAACTCTCAACCTCTCAACTAGAAGAAGCTTCATAGATGGAGGGGGCGTCCCTCCTGTTGTGGGTAAAGGAGTCGTGCATTTCCTCATTTCCATCTCTGGCCTTGAGAGCTGCTTGTCTGAGTGACTGACAGTTGCCCACGGCTTCCAGCCACCTGCTCAAGCACCACTCATTCAGGATTAGGGCTGCAGAGGATGAAGGCCACAGGGACACAGAAGTTAGACCGGAGCCTGGGGCTTTGCCCAGGCCCCCACGTGTCCACGATCACGTGTCATGGCCTGATCTCTTGCCTTGTCCTCGATGTTCCCCTTCCCATCATGAGGAAGTGAGGGCCACAGGAAGGCCACTGTGGCCCCACACACAGAGAGCATGGACCCGCCCTTACCCGGGATGGATAGGTGGTGCAGGGGGACATCCCACAGCCGCGGGCACAGAAGCGCCATCCAGTCTGCATTGCTGCAGCCACCCGCAGCACCCATTGGGGGGGGGCAGCTTCAGATGGAGAGGCCTGGAGTGGGTGAGCGGGGACAGGACACGCGTGGATGAATGTGGGCAGGACTGGGGCAGGGCACACCACGCGGAGCCCCCCCCCCCAGAAAACGGAATCCCTGACTCCTTGATGCCGAGGGCAAGGGGAAACTGAGACAGCAAGACCAGGGTTCCTTTGTAAGGGGTGAAGTGCACTGGCACACGGACGACCAGTGAGGACAAGGGAACAGGAGGATATGAGTAGGGGTAGACACGAAGATCCCCAGGTGGGTAGGCCGGGCTGAGTCTGGGTAAGGTTGTCCTCAGACGTTCTGCACTGTCCTGCCTTAGTTTCCCGTCTGTGGAAAGGAGATGAGTGTTATGCTACAGGCTGTATCATCCCCCCACATGCTAGCTAAAATGGATAAGAAGGACCCTGTGTTCAGTCTCAGGTAGCCAGCACTGCGTTAAGCGCAGGACACAGGACATCTGCTGTGAATGCATCACATTTAGCAGAGGAGGCTGGACACTCGGGGTTCCCACTCTCCCCCACGCGACCTCCCTTCCGGAATCCCCTTTCTCCCCCATGTGATCCCCCTGGGCCCCAGGACCCACTGCTCCGCTCCATGTAACAACCCTACCTTGAATCCAAGGATTCCCGCTTCCCTCATGTGATCCCCTGACTCCTAGGATTCATGCTGTCTCCCGAATATGATCCCCTGGGTCTCGGACCCGCTTCCATGTGACATCCCCTCCCCCCGCCCCCGCCCCCGCCCCCGCGAAGTCCTTTTCAGTCACTTACCTGCTGAGGCCTCTCTCACCGAACCCTGCCCTCAGCGAGATTCACGAGCAAGATCGATGTGAGCGATGCGGCCTGACACCAGGCTGGCGGGGAGCCCTTCCGCCCGTGACACGGACACGGGCTTCGGTCCCGCGGGGGTGTGGCCGCTGTGACGACACGCACAGTCAGGACATAGTTGTGCACACAGTCGGTGCATACTGTTTGCAACAGCCGGTCACCGCATTCTTATGCCCTGAGCCCGTGACCTCCTTGCCCGCGCCCTCCCGCCCCTGCTTTGCCCTGTCAGCGGGGGTCGATCAGGGTCTGACAGGCTACTACAATCGGAGAGGACCCGCTCAGCCTTCCTGCTCTGGAGAGCAGCTTTCCCAGCTGAGCTGGTCTGGCCCCGGTGGATCCCATTCCCCAGGGGTGCGCGACCACCAGGAAGGCCCGCGAGTGGGGGTACACGAAGCAGCTAAGAGGGACACCGAAGTAGTGGGGGGGCACAGAGACAGCCCAGGAGGGGCAGGATGCGGGGGGGGGAGGGCACCATGTCAGCCAGGCTGGACGGGGTACGTTAAGCAGACTGGAGGGGAAACACAGAGACAGATGGGGTGGGGGAGCAACGAGGCAGCTTGGGGGACACCAAGGCAGTTTGGGTGACACTGAGGCAGTCAGGGGGATACCGAAGTAATTGAACACCCAGGCCGGAGGGAGACCCAGAGGCACAGACGCCTGTATCCCCAGAACACCCTGCCGTCACTCACCAGGCACCTCCACCGGGTTGTCCCCAGCCGCTTGCAGTCAGTGACCCCCGTGCCCCGCTGGAGGGAGGGGTGGGGTGTAGAAAGGGTGAGAGAGGGCCGCCTGCTCAACCACAGACCCGGAGTCAGGACCCTGGACTGCAGCCGACCCTGGCCCCGGGGACAAACTGCAGTGTCGCAACCGCACAGCGGGTGTTTGAATATGCACTTTGGCCGGCGCCTCCTCCCCACGCCTGATAGATAACCCCGTGACCCCGAGTGAGTGCCTGATAACCCCGTGGCCCTACCTCTCCACTCAGGAACCGGATCCTCAAGCCACCTGTGGTCAGGGCCTGGGTCCAACAGATTCCTCAGGGGCCTGGCGTGCACCTGCTCGCTCGCTCGCTCTGCCCTCCCCTGTCCTCCTGTCCTGTCCTTCCCTTCCCTAGCTCTCACAAGCCTTTCCCTGTTCTCTCCCCTCCTCTCTCCTGTTCTTCCCTGCCCTCCTCTCCCCTGCATTCCTGTGCCCCCCCCCCATCTCTGGCGTCTCCCTCTACCATGGTCGCCTGCTCCCTCACCCCTCCCTGCTGGGGATCTTCGCTGTGACCTGAGTCTGCTTCTGTCAGGGGCATTAACCTCATGACTTCAGCTTTGGCTGCAAACCGCCCCCCATTGACCTTGTAGCCTCAGGCTTGGTCTCCCATCAGGTGCACGCTTAGAATCTTCCAAAACACATCACGGGTGTCCCTGTTCTGTATACGTCATGGGGTATTCCTGTCCTCTGTGTGCTGTGTGCCTGTGTAGGTTCTTTGTAGTACACGACCTCAGGCCACGCACCACAGGGCCTCTGGGCTTTCTCTGGATCCATGTTCAGGACCACACAGTGACTCCGGGCCCCGGTTGATGCCACATGCAGGAGACTGCATGGAAGCCCGCAGATCATGGACCAGGATGGGGAGGCAAGAGCAGGGCGCTGCTTGGATCCCCACAGTACAAGAATGTCACAGGGCTGTGGGAGCACAGGGCGGAACCCTGGGTGTGACTTCGCAATGAGCAATGACAGGTGCTCCGATGGAGGGGAGCAGAAGCAGGAATTGCGGAATTGTGCCCTCACAGGGACAGGGGTCCACACCGCAGCAAGGGTCTCCCCTCATCTCCCCATAGACACAGCCTTACCACAGCAGCAAGACTCTCGCCCCACAGCACAGACTTCCCACCACAGCAAGAGTTTCCCCACACACAGATAGACAGTAGGGGCTTCCACCGCAACAAGAGTTTCCCCCCACAGCGGGAACTTTCCAGCACGGGGTGTCATATGGGATCCAAGGATGCTGGTGTACTATGTACTACAAAGGTGACTGATCAGCGTGGGTGGTGTCAGCCAATCAGCCGCGTTTAATCCTGTGCACATATGCTAATTAGCCCTGTTTAATCGGATGTACAACACGTGGAACCTCATTTGTTGACTGAACTAAGACAGCTGAAGAGCTGTGCGGTGCTGGTGTCTAAGTTGTCCTGAGTCCTTGTGTCACCATGCCGAGTACCCAGACCGCCCCTGAACCCGCTGAACAGGATGGACTCATCTGTTTCTCTTCCTGTCGTTTTACGATGACGAAACATGAGGAATTCAAGCAGGTTCCTGTACACTGGTACCGGAGGGAGGAAGTGTGTGTGTCAGGGCTACTCCAGTGCGTGGTGCCCTCCAGTGCATCCATAGCTACACCCCTCGCTGCACCCCTACACCTCTCTGTGCACCTCACACCCTTCCCTGCATCCCTCCTTACACCCCTCCCTGCACCCTACAACTACACCCCTCCCCGCCTTCCTCCACATACCCTATGCCCTTCCCTGAATCCTACACCCTTCCCTATACCTCTACACCCTTCCATTCACCCTACATCCCTCCCTTCACCCCTCCCTAACCCCTCCCTTCACCCTACAGCTACATCACTCCCTACACCCCTCTCTGCAACCCTACCTGTATCCCTCCCTACACCCCCCACTCAGACAGGTTTGTTCCTGTGACAAATTTCTGTCATTGTTTCTTCTAACTGTAAAGCCCCATTATTATTATTATTATTATTATTATTATTATCATTAAATGTTCAGTAAAGGAGTGAAAGTTATCAGGGCCATTACACACCATTACCACCACCCCGCCCCACAGGGACCAATAACCCAAAAATATGTGTGATTCACACTGCTCCATTGTTCACCTGCCCCCCACCAGTCCCCTGTGGATGGCACAACCTCTGGAACACTCATCCCCCTGTAACACAGACCCTCCTGTGACATCTGTCCATTCCCCCCCAGAGTGGCAGACTCTCCATAACACCCACCGGACCCCTGCAGATGGCAGACCCTCCCTGACACCCTAGCCCATGCTGGTAGCAGACCCTCCCATGGTACACCCCCACACGGGTGGCAAACCCTCTGTGACACCCCAAGGATGACAAACCCTCCAGTCACACTCCCCCACACACGTGGTAGACCCATGAAGCTCCTTTTTTTCCCAGGGCAGGCTGACAGGCAGTGGGGCAGTGGTGATCTTGGGTTCACCCAGAAACCATGAAGTCGCTGACGCTGACGACTCAATCAACAGGGGCCAGAATCCAGGTCAGGTGTTGACACATCAGCGCGTGGGCGTTAAGTGTGTGTGATTTACGCTTATTTCTCTTTTGTGCTGTAATTAGGACGCGCATGGCTGTAAGTATAATTGCTTGTAGATTACAGCATGCAGGGTGAACAAAGGCTCCTTGAAAGTGAGGCCACGGAGCCTGGGAAAGTGGGGAGGGAGAGCTCGCTCCATCTCTTGTGACACAGCATGACACACATAGTGAGGCCCATGAACACGGGAGACCCCGAGCTGAGCTCAGAACTGGTGTTCATAATGGAGCAGGTCTGAACCAGTGAGCATGTGTGTGCACACCTATGTAAAATGTGTAATCCTGTGCATGTATCAGTATGCATGCGCATTTAAGTGTGTGTGAGCACATTTGTGTTCATGTGTGTATACGTGTATACATACATAAGTGTGCGTGCGTGTGCATGTGTGTGTAAGTCTGTGCGCGTGTCTGCATTTTTGTGTTTGTGCATGTGACAGTGTGTGTGAGTGCATTAGTGATGTGTGCACGTGTATGCGTGATATGTGCTGAAGCCTCAGCAGCCACTCCTAGCTCCAAGGATGAGGTCAGGATGAGGCTCTCTCGATGCTGCTCATGTGATGCCCCCGCTCATCCCTTACAGAACACCGTGAAGACTCTAGGGGAGTCTCCTGCCCACCGGTGACATGATGTGAGCATAGATGCCAGGTTGGCTGCATTTCCCTCTGGGTGACTGCACGTATGTGCTTTGCCAGGTTCTGCGTGCACCTGGCCACGGTTGTGTCACCCTGTGACGTCATCAGAAACTGTAGCCAGGACCGGCGCGACCTGCCGCCCCTTTTTCCCACCCATGCAAACATGTGTTTAAACATACACGTCAGTTCGCGTCACAGCAGCATTTAATATTATGACCGGGTGGGATGGGGCGCGGACTCTGGATTCCGGAAGGTTCCACCAAGATCGCCAAGGACAGAGTGAGTGAATCCCTGGTCCTGCGTGGTTGCAGCAGGAGCCTCGGGTGCTGTCCATATCCTTCTGGGAAACGCAGCTGAGCAAGCAGCCTTAGCCCAGGAAGGGGAAACATGCTCGGCCACGCACACCCAGGCCAGAGACCTGCAGGTGGAAGGGCCTAGTCGGTCCTGAGTGGAGGCCACAGGAAATTCCAGCAGTCTAAGACCCACCCGCTGCAACAGCAGGGGGTGGGGCAGCTCAGCTTGGACATGAAGTCCCTCGCCCCCTCCCCCCCCCCATGTTCCTGCATCCATTTCCCACCCATGGGTCTTCTCACGGGGCTCCCCACCCACGGGATTCCAAGCATACGGATTTCTCCACCTGCGGGGTTCCCTCTCTGCCTCTCCCAAGGGACTCCACACCCACCTTGAACACGTGTCCAGCCTGGGGCTCCCGCTGCAGCTGTTCCAGGCTTAACCCATCAGCTGCCGAAGTCACATACAGATCCGAGTAGTCGGGGCCCCCGAAACAGCAGGACGTGACCCTAGTCACCGGCAGGTCCACAGTGCACAGACACGACCCTGCAAGCCAAGTGTGGACCCAGGGTCCGCTGCCATGCTCCTGCTTCAGTGCCCAGATAGCCTCCACACCACTCTGTCTTTACTCCCTCCCCAATTCCCTGCTCCCTGCCATCCCCTCAGCCCCGCTCTGCCCCCATCCGTCTTCAATGCCCACTTTGTCTTCACTGCACGCCCCCACTCAGCTGTCCATACCCCCTCCCGGTCCTCAGTACAGAGATCTCCAGAAGGGAGGAGAGAGAAAGATCTCATGTTGGAGATGTGGGGACTCAAGCCTAGGACACCTGGAACCCCCTCCCTGAGCCTGTTGATGGTTATGACTCTGCCTGGTGGGTAGAGCGCTTCCTGCCCTCACACTCTTCTTCGGTTCTGCTCACGTGACCCCGCCACGTCCAGGACCCACACACCATGACTTTGCATGATATCACACACCTGTCTGCGGATCCAGGCGGATGACCTTGCCACCGTCGATACAGGCCACCCACAGCGTCCCCACGCTATCCACACACAGTCCATCAGGCATGGCTCGCCCCCGCGGCATCTGGAACAGAAGCCGGCGGTTCCCTGCGACATAGGGACATGCGTGGCTGCTCAAGGGGAGAAGCTGCTACGATTACACAGGCCCCTCATGGGGCCTGGAGGGCGACTTTGTTTCAGTTGCTTCTCCTGGACACATGGGCACGTAGACACCAAAGCACATGGACAACCGGGCACACGGATACATGGTCACCCAGATACCCAGCACCTAGGCACATGAACGGCTGGGTCCCGGGCACATGGACAGCCCTACACCTGCGCTGGCCAAGCATTCCTGCTCCACCCAATTCCCCAGTCCCGGATCCTCCACCCAACTGTTCATCAATCTCCCATCTGTCTGTCTGCAGTGTTCCTGCTCGGTTTCTCTGTATCCCTCGAATCTGTCACCTGAGTCCCGCACTTTGTCCCCAAGTGCTCACCAATGGTGCCAGCCTGCACATCATAGTCGTATGCATGCACCGCATAGTCCAGGCTGTCCACATGGTAGAATGTACGCTGGTCAGTCGACCAATCCAGCCCGTTGGGGATGCCCAGCCGGTCGGCCAACCGCAGCACCGAGTGGTTCCCTTGCAGCGAGTACAGGGATCCCTGGGCAGGCTCCCACACGCCAGGGGCCAAGGGCTCGGGCATGGTGCCTGAGGGCAGAGGACAGAAGGCATGGTATCTGTGGAGGGCAGAGAGCCCAGGGCTCAGCCATAGTGCCTAGAGGGCAGGGAGTCTAGTGCCTGTGGAGGGCAGAGGACAGAGATCTGAAGACCTTGGCAGTCCACAGTGACAGTGATGTCATGACAGACAGAGGAAGAGACCACGGAGATGAACGGACAGGGCCACCAGCCAAAGATATCCGGAACCCTAGGAACTATAACAGTCCGGAAGCTCCCTCCTTGGAGCCTGTAGAGTGTCGAGACCCCAATTCTGCACCCAACATCTCAGTCCCTGGCAGGGTCCTTGGTGATGCCCAACTGTACTGGCCCAGGCTCTGATTTGCAAATCTGTTCACACAGAGCCCTGGGGTCTGTCCCGTTGACCAGGTGTCCCCAGGCCTGCGCGGGCGTCCTGCGCGGGCGTCGGGTAGATGCTCCCTAGAGGGCGGGAGAGGCGGTGGGGGGGAGGGCAGACAGATCCTCCGGTCTCCGGGGAGCCCTCCCTACCCATCCCTGTGTCACCCAAAAGACAGAGTACCCATGATTTTGTGACTACAGCCTGCTTCCGGTCCGTGCTCACCTGCCACAAACCTCCTGCAGGGTCCACCCCTCAGCCCAGGGACAAAGAGTGCACAGCACACATGTGACCATGTGACCACAGCCAAGGTTCCTGAAGCCCACCTGCCACGAACCTCCCCGCGGGGTCCACTTTGCCATCATTAAACCTGTTGTGGGGTTTCTGTCTGTCCAGCTGAGCCACCCACTGCACCTGTTGGGTGTCCCAGTCCAGGAGGCCCAGGCAGGTGCCCACGGCCACCACGTAGCCGCCCTTGTCCTGGCTGCGCAAGGCCACGCAGCCGACCTGGTGTCCTGGGGAGACAACACAAGGGGCTGAGGGCAAGTAGGTTAAAGACCACCTGCTTTTGACCCAGGGCTCCCCCACCAACCCAATGTGCTCACCCTGCCTCCAGGAGGTCCAGCGCTCCCCACTTCCCCCTCCCTTGGGCCAGAGCTCCCCCAGAGCTCCTCCACTCCCTACAAGCAGTGCCTGAGGCCCAGGTCTCCCTATTTTCTCCTTCTCCGATGTCCAGGGCTCCCCACTTCCCTACTCCCCACTTCACTTCTCCCCTCTGTCCTGAGTACCAGGGCTCCTCACTTTCCTGTACCCCAGATCCAATGCTCCCCACTCTTGCCTAGCTTGAGGCCCTAACGGTCCCCATTTCTCCCTTTCCGGAGGCCCAGGGCTCCCCACTACTTTACCCCCTCTTTGCCCCCAGCGCCCCCTACCACCACTTCAGCGCTCCTCTAACCACACCTGTCGCCTTCACTCACCCAGGTGCACTGCCTGCACCTTAGTGCTGTGCGGACCCCAGCGGCACACGGTCTGTGCATGAATGTCCACGTAGACCAGATGCCCTGTAGCCTCCTCCCACACGGGGCACTCGCCCATCCTGTGCCTCTCGGTGACTACGGCCTGGATTTGGGCCCTGGGGGACGCCATGGAGCCAGCAAAGTCTGCTGGTGCTGAACTGCGCCTGCTGGGACAGATCCCTGTTCTCTGCCTGAGTCAGCACCCGGGCCCCGACCCCAGGAGAGCCTCGGGGCTCCCACACCCGCCCTGCTCGGCGCACTGCACACGTGACCTGCCCGCTCCCTAGCCTCAGATGAGGCTGTCAGTCAGAAAACAGGGATCTGGGCAGGGACTAGAGGTCCCAGGAGTCCCCACCCCATGCTGCTCAGTTTGCTCTGGAGAGGCACCCAGGAAGGCTTGCCCCAGCTAAGGCCTCGGTGGGTGTCCCCAGCTACCTGACCTGGGTACTCCTTGGATTCCGGTGGCCTCTCAGCTCCCACAACTCAGACCTCATCGGATCCTCTGGAGCCCCAGGCTGCACTGGGTGGTGGCCACCACTCCTACCTTCCAACCCTCCCTCTAGTCCTCTGCCAAGGCCTGTGTTGGGCTGGAGGGTGGTGCTGCTCCTCTGATTGCAACCCTAGAAGCTGCTTGGCAACCTCAGCAAAGGCAGCACGAGGCCCCCTCCTGGCCAGAAGACGATCCCCCCCACTTACGTGTGCAGCAGGAGAATCATGTATATAGCAGGAGATGACCGTGTGCAGCAGGTTTCCTGGATTAGATTATTAAAGTTTCCCATTAATTTTAATCACAGGGCATAGCAGCACCAAGAGATGCCCTAAAGGATCTCCAGCACTCCAGACATAATCAATCCTTAGCTTCCTTGTGGAGCATTCCAATTTCTCCATGTTAATATATCATCCCTTCTAATGGTTTTATTCTTTCTTAGTTTGTTGATTTAAGGATATTTGAAGCCCAAAATTACCAGAAGGACGCTTGAGTTTTTAGTTCAATGGAAGGTTTGTTGTGGCTCCTGGCAGGAACACTACCCACTCTGGAACCAAAACTTCCAGGCCAGCAAAATTTAGGCTTGTGGAAACAGGAAGCAAAAGCTTTCCTAGTGGGTCACTAGGGGCGGTAGTGAGTAGAGATATTCCCCTTCACCCCTTGATTCCTGGATCCATAGGAGAAACCGTCCCATATATTGGGTGCTAATTCAGAGCATATACTGCTTTCTGGAGAACCCTGCCCCCCCCAAGATGCTGCCACCTAATTGGTACTGTAACTGTGTCTTCAAAAGACCAAAGGGCATTCTATCTTCCTATCAGGCCAGATTCTTCAGGATGCTGGAGAACATGGTAAGACCAGTGGATCCTATGATTGTGGACCAACTGTCATGCTTTTCTGGCTGTGAAATGAGTGTGTGGAATACTATGTCAGTGGATAAGACATTCTGCAAATCCATCGATGTTGGTTTTGGCAGAATCATTACATGTAGGAAAGACAAATCCGTACCAGAATAACTGTCTGCCCTAGTAAGGACAGAGAGTTGTCCTTTCCACAGAGGAAGTGGTCCGATGTAGGTTGATGGCTGGTCACTTGGGTGAATGGCGCCACATATGAAGCTCAGTGCTGGTCTCTGCTGTTGGCTGATTTGGTTGGTATTCAGCAGCAGCTGTCGCCAGGTCAGCCATAGTTAGTGGAAGTCCATGTCATTGAGCCCATGCCTAACCCCCATGGTCACTTTGTTCATGGGTCCCTGGGCAATGGCATGAATGGCTGTGAAAAGAGGCTGACTGTTCACAGGAAGTCATCTGTCTACTGGATTCTTGAACTCCTCCTCAGCTGAAGTCAGCTTTTAGTGATTATTTACATGAGATAAAAGTATTTTTCACACCCTTTGCTCATTTGATGAGATCTCTCCAAATACTTCTTCCCCAGATGTCTTTTCTCACAAATTCTCCAATCATACTCTTTCTGGGTCCCTGAACATCCAGTTAATCCATTGACTACAGCACGTTAATCAGTGAGTACTTGTGCATTTGACCATTTTCCCATTCAACCCAACTGTATGATGATATGCACTGCCTAAACTTCTCCCCACTGTGAAGATTTCCCTTTGCCAATATCGTTCAGGGTTTTCCAAGAATGGTGTTGTAATGCTGCAACTATCCACTTCTGGGTGATACTTGTATGATGTACAGAACTACCAGTAAACCAGGCACTAGTCTTCTCTCCCTCACTCAACCAATTATAGGGAGCAACTTACAATGTTATAGGTGTATTCCTGGCATCAGAAGGCATTGTAACAGGAGTAGAAACCATAGGCAATTGGGCAACTTGTTCTTGTAGTTTGCTTGTGCCTTCAGGACACAATTGGGCCTGATCTCTTATATACCACTTCCACTTGGTAACAGATGGCTGTTGTGCAGGACTTGGTTGGTCCAATAAAACCCAGCTCATGATGGGCCTTTAAAGTTGAAATGGTAAGGTGGCCCAATGTCCAATGTTCAGTTTCTCCCAGTGGCTGGGATTAATGTCATGTGCTCCAAGACTTGGCCATATTTATTTTTGTAAATGGTTCTATGGCAGGCAGTGGCTGGCACTTGAAATTACTTTAAGAGGTATTGCATTGTGCCAGTTATCCAATTATCCAATGTTCCTTTTCTTGTATGTTATTCAAGAAGTGTGTGTGTGTGTGTGTGTGTGTGTGTGTGTGTGTGTGTGTGTGTAGACTATGTAGCACAGACTTTAAAACTTACAGTGATCTTCCTACCTCTGGGTCCAGACTGCTGGTACTAAAAGAATGAACTATCCCACACAGCTTGAAAATTATTTTTATGGTGCAAGTCTTCTTATGGTGGCAATGGAGGCCAGAAGATGGTGTAAGAACCCTTAGTACTAGAGTTATATATAGATAGTAATGAGCTTCTGTATGTACTGGGAATGGAAGTTGTATGTTGTGAATCTTCAATGCTCTTAACTGCTAAGGTATTTCTACCCTAAATTTCCTGTTCAAGGCAGCCTAGTCAGGGTCAAACACCTGATGCTGATTAAAAAGTGGAATTACCCTCCATTACAGAGAATTAGCTCCTGGCAGGCAGGGATGCGCTCCAACAACTGTTTATCTGGTACAGTCCTGCCTATTATGATGGTAGTCAAACTGACTGTCTCTGGAATTAACTAACATTTGGGAAGAGATGGAATGCAGAGAGAAAAGGGGAAAGTGATGTAATATTTTTAAGTTAACAATTTATGGAGATAAAATTGAAATAAAAAGAGGGGCTATATAGATGGCTCAGCAATTAATATCACTGGGTGTTGTTTTGGAGGACACAGGTTCCATTTCCAGAACCCACATGGTACTTAACCATTTGCTGTAAATCTGGTTCCAGGCATCTCCTGCCTTCTTCTGGCCTCTGAAAGCACTGCAAACAGAAACACATAGGCAAAACACCATATAGCTATTTAAAAAGAAGTTAGAAAAAAGAAAGAGTGAAATCTCTACATTGTTTTCGCAACCCTGACACAGTATGCCTGGGCTAGTTAAAATGAACTCATTCTGGCCATTCATGAAGTACCCATGGCCTTCTGCCAAGTCAGCATGCTAAGAGGCAAAAGCAGCTTTGTTCTGAGGTTAATAGAGATCATCATAACCATTAATCTAAGAACAGAGTATATAGTTTTGTTAGGTAACTTTTCCTTGACATTTTCTGTATTTGTGTTATCTATCTTTTGTAAATGTGAGAATTGTAGTATTGCTACATCTATCTTTAGAATACATATTAAGATTGACAGATATCATAGGCTCCAAAACAATCTACTTTTCACAGTATCATTTACTTGATTTTCAGCCAAGACCTTGTGGTTCAAGATGAACATGCCAGAGGCATTTTATTCCATCGTTTTTATAATTTATATATGTTCCTGCATGACTTTGAGATAAGAATATCTCTGATTTTACATTGTGATCATGTTCATAGGTGATTTGTTAACTGAGAATGCTTAGGAATAAGCATAACTCCACATGAATGTGTCCAGACTCACTAAGTAAAAACCACATGCTTCCTGCATTTAAAAAAAAAAAAACAAAACATTGCTTTGGAAATAACTCCTATGCTCTCCTTGACTCCTGCAGGTAAGAAATCTTCTCACTTCTCTGTCTTGTATGTTGTGATGGCTATTCTTGGTAGTCAAACCGACTACCTCTGGAATTAACTAAGACCCAAAGAGTTGGGTTACCTGTGAGGGATTTTTCTTAAAGGTTTTGAAATTAAAGACCCATCTTAATCTGGATTACTTAGGTGATAAGATTCACCTTTAGCTGATTGTGGCAGTGTATACCTTTAATCCCAGTAGTCACAAAGCAGAGTCAGTTGAATTTTCTGAGTTTGAGGCCAGCCTGGTCTACAGAATGAGGTCTGGGGTTACTCTGTCTCAAAAACACTAAAAATAGAATAGAACAGAATAAGATCCACCTTTAATCTGGATTGAACCTTTTGGTAGCAGCTAACGTATGTAAAGGATATTGAAGAAGGAAGTTTTCTCTTTTTGCCTGCTTGCCCTATCTCTGGCTACCATTACTAGCATTACAGCCTACTTCTTTGGAATTTTGGTGTATACTGAAGACCAGCTGAGAAATCCAGCCTCATGGACTGAGTAATTTGCTGGATTCTTCAAGTTCCCATTGGTAGGCAGCCATTGTTGGAGTACCTGAACCACAGTTTGTGAGACATTATAATAAATCTACTTTCTACATACATTGAGAGATTCATTCTACCAGTCCTCATCTTGTAGATAGCATTTAATAGTGCAGCTTTTTTTTTTTTAACCTGCCCATTGATGAAGATATGCTGGTTAACAATAGTGCTCATAGACACATTTTTCCTAGCTCTATTATTCTCTAAGTATTCAACTTTTCACCAAGACTACTCTTTATTATTATTCACTTGCCAAGAGTTTGGTTTGAATTTCAGAAATAAAACTCCTAAAACAATGGAGCCACCATCCAATTTTCTGATGGGAAAAAGACCTATTATCTTATTTGTGTTCTGGTGGCTGCTATTCTTTCCTGGTTGTCTGAAATCCCCAGGAAGTACCTTCAGTTCATCTGACCTCAATGTGAAACTACAGAACAAACATCTCATTTTGTGTCCTTAAATCTTTCTTTAAATGTTAGTGTCCTGGGCCCAGGGTCTGCTATTGAAACCAGGGTCAAGTGCTACTGAAATGCCTATCTCTGCTGATCTAGAAAAGGTCTTTGCCTGGG